CCTTCCTCCTCTTTTTTCCCCCACTGGACATTCTAGAAATATCGATATAACTCATCACCAGACATGAGGTCAATCTGGATGTGATCTCTCACTCCAGCAATCACAACAGGATTTGTTTGGCTGATCTGGCTGGTTAGGAAGCTGTTCTCTTTTCTCTTAAATACTCCCCATGGGCTCTTTCATAAGCTGCAATCTCAATCAGAGAAGAGGACCATTGCTGATTGCTGGGGATGTGTGTGCTACTTAGCTTCCTTGTTTGGCTTTCCTCACAGGTTCTAAAAGTCACCTCCAAGCCAGGTCTAATGCTATGACATGTTGGTTGGGCATGATATACAGAGCCTGGGTGAAATATGTCCAGCAAACACCCAGTCTATGAAATACACTACTGTGCAGGCTATGATGGTGAAATGAATGTGTTAACAGGTGAAAGAAGATGATCTAGACACCAAAATTGAACCAGAACAAAAGGAAATTGTGAACATTTTCAAAATACAGCACTAGCTTATCCACAATGGCCCAAATGTTACCTTTTATCATAGAACAATATGGACACCTGTAAAACTCAGCCAGGTGAGACTTTAAACTCAAATTTATGATTGCTGTGTCAGAACTAAATTGGTACATTTATAGACTAGTTGTGTGAATGCAACACAGTAGAATTGTTTTGGAATCCAGCAACGGACTTGTGAATGCCTTGTTAAAATGAAGTACACTTGTCTTGCTCAGAACAGATTTCTTAGGAATAATGCCTATCTCCTTACATGATTTGTTTCAAATGATTTAATAAATTCAGCAACTAAAACAATATCTTAATGGGTGATTCAATTCTAAATGCCAAAATAAAATTATTGCATATAAAGAGGCATATACAATTACTCTCTTATTCAGAAACTGCTTTGTGATTTTAATGAAGAATCAGAAACAAAATATTACTCTAAATGGCTTAAACAATACATTTCCTTTTTTATTTGTTCTCTTTTCCTTCTCAATATCTCTGACCTGTCTACCCCTCTTCCATGCTGTTACTCACATCTTAACCATTTACATTTTACATGTGAATGAGATTATGAATTTATGACTCCAGGAGATAAATGCATATGCATATACTATAAATGGTATTGCACTGTTTTCTTTACACTTTGTAATCTTATACTTATGAAGAATAAATCTTAAAAATAAGGATCTGCCAAATAGGTATTGTAACATATAATAAAATGCATTAAAAGTTATAATTGGAATAATAAGATTTGCAGAATTTCAGCACCAAGCAGTTACTTATAAAATACCAATGGAATAATTCTGGATTCACTGCATAATACTGAGTACAAACAGTCATATTTAGTAAACCAATGAAGAAGGTCGGCAAAGGCCTAGACGGGAACCATTCTGAGTTGATTATGATGATGGATAGGTGAAAGTCAAAGATCTTCAGTGTAACGGTAAGCAGTTAATTCTGTCTTTATGAGTCAGGTGTAGAGACATAATCATATCTAAGGAGCTCCCCCAAAAGTATGTATGTTTTAAATGTTGTCTCATAGCACTTATCTTAATTATCTCAAGTTTAATTCCCTCAGAGTGGACACGAAACACTAAAGATTATCTAGTAGTATAACGTAGAATCAATGATTTATACAGAGTGGTTAATTTTTTTCCCCATTTTACAAATTGTTGTCTTTCTGCCAAAATGTCAGAATGTTTTACATAATCCACACTATCACTGTAGTGTAAAGCAGAGCAAGAAGACAGACCCTTCTCTAAGGTTTTGTCTGACACAGATTTGTGTAGAAGCAAATTGGTAATAATTATCATTTCAGGTGAGGAAATACAGTTAAAGGTGAGCCTGCCTCCTGTAGGCAGTTGTAGAGGGACCGGGTCTTCGGCAATTAGTTAAAAAAAAAAACAACGCATTCAAGGAAGAATCCATTCTGGTTCTGTCATGGATCAGTACAGTATAACAATGGGATGCAGAAGACAACAAGTGAATGACTAAGAATATGGAAGCTCAAGAAGAAGAGGCCCCGGGCACACACAAGCAGATAGAGTGTCCAACACTTCCCTTGGCGTAGCGGAACTGGAGCTCAAAATCCACCGTCGTCATTTTTCATTTGTTTCATGACATTAGCCATTCTTTTTTTTTTTTCTTTTTTGTGAGGAAGATTAGCCTCGAGCTTACATCTGTGCCCATCTTCCTCTACTTTATATGGGACACCGCCACAGCATGGCTTGGCTTGACAAGCGGTGCGTCAGTCCGCACCCGGGATCCGAACCTGCGATACCCGGGCTGCCGCAGAGGTGCGCTGCGCATTTAACCGCTATGCCACCCGGCGGCCCCGACACCAGCCATTCTTAACCAAGCCTTTCTATTGTAATTATTATTATTTTTTTTTAATTTATTTTTTCCCCAAAGCCCCAGGAGATAGTTGTATGTCATAGCTGCACGTCTTTCTAGTTGCTTTATGTGGGTCGCGGCCTCAGCATGGCCAGAGAAGCGGTGCGTCGG